TTAGAATTAAAAACCATCCGTGGGCTAGAAGGAGATGATTTTCAAGTATTTTAGTTGCATAGTTGCTGCTTTTGTATGAGACATATCCCTTCAGGAAATTCCAAATTTCTTCTTTTTTAAAAAGAAAAAGCTGCTACCATGGCATAAGATAACTCCATACAGAAAATGTCCACTGGGATCAAAATAAAATTAATAAATTCCATAAAGATACTTCCTAAAGTAGCCCGACAGATACATATGGTCCCCGCTCTTCATTCACATAGCAACCTTCACTCAGCACATCCGTGGCGAGTGAACTCATTACATTTCCACATTGAACAGGTTGCAATAGAAATGCTTGTTTTGTAAGTTATTATCGGCCAGATCTAGGGGAGTCCAGAGTAACTCTAATTTTTCCAAAAGGATCTGGGCTGAACTTTGGGGCCATAATTGTTGAGTGTGGCTGACTCATGAGTCCAGTAAGTCATTCTCGTCTGAGCTCTCTGGACCCCACACGCGAGACCAACTTGAGCATCCCCCTTTGAGATACGACAGCCTAAGGCACCTGCAGGGCGTGTGAGGGAAGAAAAGGAACTCGCAATGAGACCACAGTCTAAAACCTCAGGGTTTGCGGAAACAAAGTCTGAATGGGAATCGGGGGCAGAGCACTCCTCTAAGGATTCCGGTAGGACTTGTCAGTGGCAGTAGTGATGTCATGGTGCGAAAAAGAAGGTCATTAATTTCCCCAAGGGATACTGAGACCATTTACTACATCTATGACTGAGGCAGATCTAGTTTTGTATTTCACCTTCATGATTTATGGGAAGCTGGTTCTAAGCCAGTATCAATTTTCTTAGGAGTAAGAGAGGCATTTTACTTTTAAAGTAGTGTATGCAACTAATATCTATTTCTTAAAAGACCTCTACCTATAAAGCAGTTATTCCTTTAGTGTAAACTTTAAAAAGGATGTACATCTGTGCAAACACAAACGCATTCCGATGGAGGTAACCAGAAGGCATTGTTACCAGGTCCCAGCCACGAGCTGAGGGTGGCAATGACATAAGGAAGAGCAACAGAGACTTTCCATTTTCACTTAAATCTATTTTCTGCATTTCTATAGACACTGAAATTTCTGAAAATGAATGAACATTTTCAAAAAAATACCCTTCCCTGGACTAGATTCGGACTCAGCCACCCTATAGGGCAGGGTAGAACTGCCCTTTCAGGTTCCAAAGCTTTTTATCTTTATATGGAAGTAGACAGCCTCATCGTTTTCTCACAGGATGGCTGATGGGTACCAGCTGCTGACCTTGCAGCCCAAGGCATGACCCCCTGTACCACCAGGGCTCCTATCTATAACTTAGAAGAAGAGAATTGTAGGAGATTCAGAGATTATGCAAGATCATGGATTTGTCTACGATCTACGAGTTGGGCTGTCATCTGTATGGTTGGCAGGTTGAAACCACCAACCGCTCATGGGAAAAAGACTGGGCTTTCTACTCCCATAAATAGTGACAGTCTCGGAAGCACCAGGGGGGTGGGGGGGAATCCATGAGTCAGCATTGACTCGATTCGATGGCAGTGAGTTTTGGGTTCCATCAACAATTAAAAGGCGTGAATGTCCTTAAGGGAAACTGATTGGAATGTGGAAGAAAACCACTCTCACCCATAACCATATTACCTAGAAATTAATCCTTACCCTTAATCACATTACTTAAGGAAAAATCACCATTAACATTTTATATATTTCCATACTGTCTTTTTTTCTACATAATAGCATAATGTTTAGAACCTACTGTATGTATAATTTTCTGTCCGACATTCCAACATTACTGTTTGCCTAGGATATTATCATTCTTTAAAATAATATTTTGTCACTAGGATTCCTTCTGTGGATATGCTAATTTACTTATTTGCTCCATTAAGTTGGGTAGCGAAGTGGTTTGTAATATTTTTAAATTAGCTCTGACTTATATCATACTAACTACCTTTGTGTGTAAACCACTGTTGATGTAGCAGTACTAGATTACCTAGAACTACCACCTATGGACTAGGTGGCACATGTGTTCTGTACTCTTGACATTGCCCTGTGAGGTCTTTTGCATAGTCTTTAAACATATATTAAGGAATAAGCATTATTGCTTACTAAACCATGTAAATGCTTCTTTTTTAACTTAGTTATTAAAATTTCAAACAGACAAAAGTTGAGATGTAGTAAAATGTACTCCCATGTACTCATCACCCTGCTTAAATGGTTCAAAACTGATAGCTACTTTTATTTCATGTCTACAACTACTGTTTCTCTATCTTGAATTATATTGGTTTATTTGACAGATTATAAATTGCCTAAAATTGTGAGTTCCTATTTCCCTTATTAGGAGCCCTGGTGGTGAAGTGGATTATGAGTTGGGCTGAAACTACAAGGTTGAACCCACTAGCCACTCCATGGGGACAATGAAGAAGTCTGCTCCCATAAAGATTTACAGCCTCGGAAATCTTATGGGGCAATTCTAGCCTGCCTTGTATCACTGCCATCAAGTTGATTCCCACTCACAGTGAACCTACAGGACAGGGGAGAACTACCCTGGTGGGTTTCCAAGACTGTAACTCTCTAGAGTTCCCGTAGAGCAGCTAGTGGTTTCGAACTGCTGACTTCAGGGTTAGCAGCCCAACTTGTAACTACTATGCCACCAGGGCTCTTTTAGGGGGTTGATAAGTCAGCAACTCTATGGCAGTGAGTATGATTTGTGGTTTATATCCCTTATGAAGATGCTTGATGGCACTCTCTGGTAAGTGTTGGACTCATCACAATCATAGAAAGTGTTTCGGAGACTCTAAGTCTTTCTGGGAACAGACAGCCTCATCTTTTTCCTGTGGGGCAATGCCTAGCCCATGATGTACAATGGTTGCCAAATTGGAAGAGAGTTACCTGTAATAGCCAGGCATCACTATGTGGACACCAGCACTTGGCTGGCAGATGTCTGCAGCACCCTTATCATCCATTTTCCGCACCGCGTCTGTGAAAGGGCCCGTGGCATTGATGACACATTTGGCTCTCACATCAAATTCTTTCCCTGTGAAAGAAGGCAGCATCAATCACACACCTCCTGTGCTTCTCTATTCAC